AGATAGAAATCAAGTCAAAATTCCCATATTCTGCTTTGGATTTTGGAGGGTTGGGGAGTGGGATTGAGAAGAGCAGTTTAAGATTTTCTCCCTTTTCCAAATAGAGTATCTATTCATCATATCAATTATGAACCAGATAGTGATTCTAGCCATGGCTGATGCTGCTAGACTGGCACTTAGGATACAGTTGTACCAAGAAAAGTAAAATCATGGTTTTTCAGGGAATGTTTAACATTGTAAATATGTTTCCAGTGCTGTTAGTGTTTAGTTCTATGGTAGTTGCAAATGTCCTCCTGAGGACAAAAATATCTTTATCTCTACCTTCCTCATATTTCTGTTACATTTACTTTAGTCAGTTGGTTACATTTTATGTTTAAATACTTGCAGGGATGACTGAGTGGCTCACTCAGTTAAGCATCTGACTTTGGCTCAGGTCGTGATCTCACAGTTTGTGAACTCAAGGCCTGCATTGAGCTCTACGTTGACAGTGCGGAGCCTACTTGGGATTCATTCATTCTCTCTCTCTCTCTCTCTCTCTCTCTCTCTCTCTCTCTGCCCCTCCCCCACTCACACTTTCTCTCTAAATACACTTTAAAAAAAATACTTCCATGTATTAGGAAAAGGTTACTGTCCTTTGTAAAATTGTAAATATATGGTAATTCAGTTCTATTGTGGGTTACATTGACTTTTGGTATTAGTCCCAAACCTGTCATTTTAGCTATTTTTTTAAATGGGAAATGAATTCTGAATGCCAAAATGTCTCATTAAAAGGTTAGGAACCACTTGAACAAATGTAAATATCAGTAGAGAAATTGTTCATGGTATCTTTGCTCTCTCTTGAATGGTACTTAACTGATTATTTTCCCTTAATTCTAGAAAAAAAGATTAAGTTATTGTCTAGTCCCTTTCCCTGTGTTCCCATATTTCTCAGTGAGGATATCCTTCCATTTTGAACAAAAGAGTTCTACAGGACCTGCACATGTAGGACATTTAGCCTCCCTGACCCCTGCCTACCAAAATGCCACAACTCCTCCCTGGATGTTGTGGTCACACATCCTTCTGGCTGTGATTAGAAGGTGATACTACCTCCCAGTGAGAAATGTTAAAGGACTTTACCTTTGTAGCATCTACTTAAAATGGTTTGAAAGGTATTATTTCATATGGATTAAATAAAAGTGCTGAGATTTTATTTGTAGCACCATAATTATTCAGGTTTAAAATTGATAATTTGAATAATTCTTTTTAGATAAATGTATGAGTTGCCTGCTAGAAGTAGCTCTTTCGGGAAATGAAGAACAGAAGCCTTTTGATTATAAACTGCGGCCTGAAATTGCTGTCTATGTAGACTTGGCATTGGGTTGTTCAAAAGAGCCTGCTCGAAGTCTTTGGATAAGCATGCAGGATTATGCTGTTAGTAAAGGTAAGATGAAGGGGATGAAGTTGGTAAATATGGAGATAGCTTGTGATACTAAAATATTTGTGATATGTATCAATAGAAAATCACAGGAATCACCTTATTTTTTATAGAAAAAAGTATTTTACAAATAACATTAAACATAAGTTTCTTTTTCTTCTTTGTGGAAAATATTCTAGGCATGCAATTTAGCAAACCTACTATGGGGAAATTGAGATTTACATAAAAGATAAATGCAGAGGCAAACATTTTACTGCAGGATCCCTGCAGTGTAAATAGACCTAGTTTAAGAGCCTGTTAATGAATCTCTTCCCTTTGTAAGCCCTAGGGTAAGAACTAAAAAGCTGTATATGTAGAAGTCGAAGCCTGGTCATTTTCCTTCCCTGTAAAACATTTGCCCACTACAGAGTGCTAGTGAAGATACCGATTTGAAATAAGATGGACTATTGAGTACAGTAGTAAAGTGCCATCCAAGTATGTAGTGTTACTTCAATTTCTAATGTTATTTGATAAATAAAATTAACCTTATATACAAGTTTTAAAAAGGCATACCTGATTTCTTTTTAGTTCCCATGCTTTCCTTTTTATTTTTTATTTTTTTATTTTTATTTTTTTTTTAAATTTTTTTTTAACGTTTATTTATTTTTGAGACAGAGAGAGACAGAGCATGAGCGGGGGAGGGTCAGAGAGAGGGAGACACGGAATCTGAAACAGGCTCCAGGCTCTGAGCGGTCAGCACAGAGCCCGACGCGGGGCTCGAACTCACGGAGTGTGAGATCGTGACCTGAGCCGAAGTCGGCCGCTTAACCGACTGAGCCACCCAAGCGCCCCTCTTTTTAATAATGACCTTGATTGTTCAGAATCCCATATCCATAAGTTGTCTTTCTCTGGGTGTTTTTTCTTATCATATATTTAGTTTCCCCCTATTCTTTGAATTGTCTTCCTTCTGTGATAAAAATGGTAAAAGTAAATACATTTTTTTACCTTTTATTGTCTTTCATTTTGTGTAATAAACATGAAATGAGGTGCATATTGTTTACATCTTTAAAACACCATTAGATATGATACCTTTGAAAGTTTAATTTCATCCAGTTTATTCATTTTATTTATTCATTCTGTATTGTGTTGACTCCAAGCAGAAGTGGAAAAGTATGGTAATGGAGGAGGAAAAAAATTTACTTTCTAAGTTGTGTTTTCTGATATTCTCTCATATTTGCATTATTTGCTTGGAATGTTCAGTTAGGGTTTTGTTTTTTTTTATCATGTCACTTGTTAATTGCAGTTAGGAATTTTTTTTTTTTTTAACGTTTATTATTGAGAGACAGAGAGAGACAGAGCGTGAGCAGGGGAGGGGCAGAGAGAGAGAGGGAGACACAGAATCGGAAGCAGGCTCCAGGCTCTGAGCTGTCAGCACAGAGCCTGACGCGGGGCTTGAACTCACAAACCACGAGATCATGACCTGGGCTGAAGTCAGACGCTCAACCAGCTGAGCCACCCAGGCACCCCTGCAGCTAGAACAAGATATAAACATAAGATGAATAAAAACTCATTGTATGGCTCCCTTTGTGGAATTGCTTGTACACTGTAGCTTAGACTTTATACCTGAATAGTGGAAGTGTTCTGTAGTGTTTGATATGAAATGACCATAACTTTAATGAAGAAAAGAACCCATTACTTTACAAATTGTTATAGGAGGATAATCTCTTGCTAAATTGGAAACACAGCAGAGGGTCTATAGTTTTCATTTTAAGTTGAGCATTAGAGTCCTTGATATGGGTCATTGTTTGATTTTAAGTCATAGCAGCTGTCAGAATAGCAAGCATTCCCTTGGAACAGATGATTTCTCAAGAACTTAATGTGGAAAATTTTTTATGTAATACAGTCTATCGTTTAAGATTTGCTGTGGCCTATAAGATTTTTTTAAAATCATGCATGTTTATATTGTCAGGGTTTTGTTTCTTTTTTTTTTTTACCTGTAAAATAGGTAAGTCTGAACTTAGTTTTTACCTAAGCCTACAGAAATGACTGGAAAACCAAGATATAAAATTTTATCTCTTGAGATAGGAGTTTTAAGAAGGGATTAAGAACAAATAATGTTGACTTGGGGCTTGATATTTTCCATGGGTGTTTTTTGTTTGTTTTTATTTTTAAGTAGCTTGGTAAATCTGTCAAATTAAAAGTCTAGTGGACAGTAAACCTCCCACCCCTATTTGGAATCTACTGCATGTACTACATTTTTAAAGTACAGCATTAGTATGCTAACATGGAATTAAAGAAAGCACCTGCCTAGTTCTCATCATCTGATGCTGTGATTTTGGTTTTCTGTTGCACGTACTCATCTGTGTCCATTGTTGTTTTGTTTCTTACCCACTTCATTTCATTTCATTTTTGTATTCACAGTATCTACTTAATGGCTTCAAATACCACATATATTCACACTTGACTAGTTTACACAATATCTCTACTAGGATGCTTAATAGACAGTATTCAAAACCATACTCCTGATTCCAGCTCCTTATTTCCCCAAAGCGTTCTTCCTGTGGTCTGGCTGTCTGAGTAAATCAGCCACAGTCTAAGTACATTTCTAGTCAACTTTGACTTCTCGTATTCGCACATCTGATCCATCAACAAATCCTGTCAACTCTGCCTTCAAAACGCTTTTGGAATCTGACCGCTTCTTCCTACCTCCACTGCTACTGCTCTGGTCTGAGTCACCATCATTCCTCACTTGAGTTACTGCAGTACTGCTGTTGCAGTCCATATCTGGTTCACCACTCAGCAGCTATAGTTGGCCTTTTAAAACACAAATCAGATCATATTGTATTTCCACTCAAAGCCTTCTAATGGTGCTTCCTGTTTCCCTTATAGTAAAATCTAAAGGACTTGCAGTGGCCTGCAGGCCCTGTGTGATCTAGTCTCCAGCCGACTTTCTAATGTCTCCTACAACTTATGTGTGCACACTTTGTTCTGGCCACACTGGCCTCCTTGAACCCACCTCAGGGCCTCTACACTAGTTTTTTTCTGAGGAGACACTATTTCTCTGTGGTACCTTTCCCGATTTTGTCTACATCTCTACTCACCTGTACCTTATCAGAGATCTTTGCAAACTAGCCTGTATGAAATAGTATGGTACTCCCTGTTCTCTTTGCCCTGCTTTATTTTTCTCCATAGCACTTTTCCTGTCATATTAATGTTTATATTTATTGGTGTCTCCCACCCCCCAACTAGAATATAAATTCTGCGAGATCAGGGACTTAGTTTTGTTGACTGCTATATCCCTAGCACACAGAACAGTATATAGGACCTAGTAGGTGCATTTGTTAACGTTTAGGAAATGATAACATTCACCTGTTGGATTACTAAAGCTATTAAAATTATCTCTGGACTGTTTTCTGAGCCCTTTTAAATGTTAATGAATCATTTTTGTTTTCAGATTGGGACAGTGCAACTTTAAGTAACGAGTCACTCTTGGACACTGTGTCTAGATTTGTTCTTGCAGCCCTTCTGAAACATACAAATTTACTTAGCCAAGCATGTGGAGAAAGCCGGCAAGTAACTTAAAACTATCCTCAGACAAATATTTGCTCTCATGATGTTAGAAATTAGGTAACTTTTCTATTTTGGTTCTTTATTTAGATATCAGCCTGGTAAAAGCTTGTCAGAAGTGTACCGTTGTGTGTACAAAGTTCGAAGTCGTTTACTTGCTTGCAAGAACCTTGAACTTATTCAGACCAGGTCATCATCACGAGACAGATGGGTAAAGTTGGAAATCAGTCAATTTCTGTTTTTCTGCAAGCTATGAGAGATAGCTTCTTATTGGTTTATGTGAGGGGAAAAAATGTGCCTTGATCATTGCAGATATTCAATAAATACCGAGTACATACTTCTTTTTATAGTGAAGAAATTGGATGAGTAAAAAATTTGGGGTTTATTTAACACCACATTTATCAAGTGATATGGCTGCTAAGAAAGTTTGTATATTCATAGGCTGTATAAGTAAGAATAAATTGAGTTGTCCAAACCATATGAAATATTATTCCTTTATTTTGTGCTGATCAGACCACATTTGAATTATCCTTTTAATTTGGGGTGCCATAATTTATGAGGGACATTAACAAAAGCTACCTTGGATTGGTGAAAGGTCTGAAAGTCATCTTATATAAAAACTGAAAGTGTCAAAAACATTTAGCCTAGGGAAATGAAAACAGAAGAGAGTCACATGATAGCTGCCTTAACAATACTTAAAAAGCTTCCATGTAAAAGAGGAAGTAAGGGTGTTTCTTTTTCTAGAGGGCATAGGCAGCACCAAAAGGTAACAACTGAATGGAAAATCACTGTTAGCTGAACATAAGGAAGAAAGCCTTATCATGATTAGAATTGTCCACCACTGGTGGTAAAGATTGAAACCTTTTCTTAAAGATTACTCCAGAAGTTATTCTTGCAGAAAAATAGGCAATTTTTAAAGTGCTGGGTGATCCTGATAACATGATCCTATAAATTATAAGCCTGGATAGTACATCAGCTTCAGAAATGCTTACTTTGAAACTTTATACATTAGATGATTTGCACCCTATTATTGAGGTCTTAGATTTTAAAAACCAAACTCTGTCTCTGCATTTGTATTATAGAATTCTTTTGGCATGCACTGATTTAACATTTGTGAATCTAACTATTAGTGACCTTGAAAGTCCAGGAAATGTATTAATATGCTGTTTTGTTGAGGCTCAGATTTGAAACTTACATATTATGGGGATAAATGACTTTTTAATGTATTATATGAGTCTGACTGACTGCTCAGTATCCCCATCTCTGTGAAATTCTTGAATTATTTACTGGCTAACAATCACAAAATAACTTTTATTATGCATCTGAGAAGATCATTAAATTTTTTCACTTGTACTTTATACTAAAGTCTGTGGGAGAAATGTTGCATACTGTTATGGCATTTGTGACACTCTTAACTTTTGTTGTAAGGACTCTGTCCTCTAGATGACTGCTAGTTAGCTTAACCACTGGGAAATAAAATTAACATTGTTCTTATCAGATTTCTAATTTGTGGTTTCTTCAGGGGAAAGTAAAGAAATTTAAAAAAATTAAAAACAGTACTGTTTAGAAATTGAAATTTGCTAAGAGTAGAGCATAGGTGTCACTCTCTGAAAAAAGTCTGGAAAATACAATTTTAAATTAGAATTATTAAACATTTATACAGAGTAGTAATAGCATACACAGCTTGAAGGAGACTGAATGGTATATAAATTCATGTTCTTAAATTACCTTTTATGCTTGGTTTTATACTCAGCTCATTTTAAGTTGCAGTTCTGTAGGAGTTTATTGCTGAGTAGCAGTATAAATTCAAATCCACTTAATAGCATGACATTCTAATCAAAATACTGAGGGAAAGAGCATATAGGTGTCTCTGTACATATTTTGTGTACATACATTGTTTCTGATCTTTTCAGATTTATTCAATGTATCTTTTGGATTTTGGTAGTAAAATTCATGTGTTGTTGGTTTTAGCAATATTTTCCATGATCAAAAAGTCAAAGTTTTGATGAAGTTTTTCAGAGTTTTGAAAACTATATTCAGTGTAGCTTTGATGGTTTCTTTCAGATCTCGGAAAACCAGGACTCTGCAGATGTTGATCCTCAGGAGCATTCGTTTACCCGGACCATTGATGAAGAAGCTGAAATGGAAGAACAGGCTGAGCGAGACCGGGAAGAGGGGCATCCCGAGCCAGAGGATGAAGAAGAAGAACGGGAACATGAAGTGATGACAGCTGGCAGTGAGTACACCCTTCTTAATTAACAGATCCACATCATGGCATTCTGAATGGTAGGGGAACTGACTGGAGAAGAGAAGGGCAAACATTTCTCTGTAGTTTTTCTGTAAGGATCTGATATTCTCCTGGTGATCTGAATTTACATTAGCTAATGTTTCAGCTCTTAAAAACTGTGCTAGTTCCATTTTGAAGCTATTGGATTGCATGTTTGGGGCTGAAAAGCTCTGAAAGCAGGCTTTTAGAACCAGTAACTGTTCCACTGAGTCTTATGCATGCAATAATGCCCATGAGTGATTGGGTAAGGTCATACAGAGTTTGTTTTGGAGGGTACCAGTTTGTCCATTGGCCTGGCCCCTCTGTGTGGTGAGGAAGAGAGCCTCTTCCAGCACTTACTAGGAGAGCCTAGTTACTTTTTATATGTCACACTTTTAAAATTATAAATTTCACCCACTGACTACACTGCCATTGTCAGTAGAGAGCAAGAGTATGCATGAGAATTCTGTTGGCTGGGTGATTATAACACTTTCCATACTTGTATATTTCAAGGCTACAATAGAAAACTATTGTAATCATTTAGATGTTTAAAAGGAAATACCAAAGCTTTTAAACATGTGTTAGTATCTTTTGAGTGATTTGGCTATTTCAAGTTAAAATGTATATTCACTTTATAGACTGAAACATTATGGCTAGCTATGCATTTGGTGTTGGGATTATCTCTGTGTATTAATCAATTTGACATTTTATTATCAATTTATTTGTGTTTTGCATACTTGTAAAAATGATATATGGAGGTGGCTCAAAACCAGAAACTACTTAAAAAAACGAGGAGAAAAGGGATTGGAGATAGGGAGGGAGAATAATTATATTTTAAAAACCTAGGCTGAAGGGACTTTTGCAGTTGAACTTAAAACTTAGTTTAAAAATTCTGGAAAACAAAGGCCAAAGGGGAAAACATGGTAACAAACTGTAACCTTCAATTATAGTAAAAGAAAGCATAATAGTCACTGGGGAGTAAGAATTTTAAATCAGCTATGGTTTTTGAGCACCTGTGTTACATGCTGGGCATTGGGTCATATGCTTCACATAGATGGATAATCCTTACAATAGTCTAATGGGATACATTCTGGTATTTATCTTAAAGATGGGCAAACTGAGATTTAAGGAGGCAAAATTTATGCCTAGGGCCAGATTAGTAGCAGCTGGAAATCGAATGAGATCTGCTCAAAGTTCCAGTGACCCTTCTCTTAATTACTTTAACTGATTTCAAGCTTTGTACTGAGTTTGTTGCTTTGGTTTTTACAGAAATGAGACTTCAAACAGCATAATGAAAATATTATGTAATAATTCTATAAAATACACATATGAAAGCCATTTTTAAAGTTTATACTTCTGTATGAACAGATGAATCTAGTATTTATCCAAATTTTCTGCTTGGGTGCCCCATAAAGAATACTGTCTTCACTCCAAATTTGAACAAAAAATTATTTTCCTGTTGTGAAGTATCTGCCACTGCATCAGAACCTTACTAAACTCACTGTTTTTTTACACTTGTGAATTGGGAAGGGCTGGTATTAGATGGACATTCTTGGTGATGCCACTTGATTTTCTGAAGCAGTCTTGGCTGTATATTATTATCATATTCAGTTTCAGCAAAGACCTTTAGTGGTTTTACTTTTTTAATGTGTTTGAGATACAGCAGAGTATAGATGTCAGGAATTACATAGACTTTAGAGAGGGAGGGGGGCTATTCTTAACTCATGCAACTTAAATTTTGTTTCTTTTGTAACCTGACATTTTTCATACAAAGGTCATAAACATTTCAGAAATAGTTATTTTAATCTAACTCAGTCATTTTGAAACTTCAGCAGAGCTCAAAATCAGCTGGATGGCTTGTTAAAACACATATTGCTGGCCCCATGCCTAGAATTTCTGATTCAGAAGGTCTGGGATTGGCCTGATAATTTGCATCTGTTACAAGTTCCCAGAAAATGTTGATGCCCTGGTCTGGGGCCACTTGGAAAGCATTGATCTAACTCATGAGGAAGAGTAGAAATAGAATAAACCAAATGTGAATTCTATAACGGCATAATTATTTCCTATTTTAATTTTTGTGAAAAGTTTAATGTTTTACATGTATTTAATATAATCTTAACTTAGTTACTATGCTGTATTTAATGTCTAAAAAATAACTTTTCCCTCTTTCAGTAAGTTTTTGATCCAAACTTTATGACTATTTTTGTTATTTTCTTTGCTCTTCTCTCCCCATGTGTTAAGACCTTGTTTTTGTGTTGCATGTTACAGAAATCTTTCAGTGTTTCCTCTCAGCCCGTGAAGTAGCTCGTAGCCGAGATCGAGATAGAATGAACAGTGGGGCAGGGTCTGGGGCTCGAGCTGATGATCCACCTCCCCAGTCTCAGCAAGAGCGAAGGGTCAGCACAGACCTTCCTGAGGGTCAGGATGTGTACACCGCTGCCTGCAACTCTGTGATCCATCGGTGTGCCCTGTTAATATTAGGAGTAAGTCCTGTGATTGAGGAGCTTCAGAAGCGGAAGGAAGAAGGACAGTTGCAGCAGCCTTCAACAAGTGCCTCTGAAGGGGGTGGACTTATGACCAGGTGGGACTGACTAGAAACTTGAAACATTTGTGACTTTATGCAGTGCAACACTTTGTTCTCGAAGTTATAGTGGTCTTCTGAAATGAACACACATGTGGAGGAGGAAATCCAAATTGACTAGGGTGAAGTAATATATTAATGTATTAAAGTAATGTAAAGAGTGATACTGATTCAGCCTGGAATAGAAATTTCTGATTAGATGAGGAGGCACAATTTTTCATACATATAAACAACAGTAGTTGACAAACATACGAAGTTTCTTGCATCTCTCTGTAATGTAGTGGCATGTAAGTTGGTTTGATGTCATCGTAAAGGGCTTTGTGCTTACACAAGAGTCAGGATTTCCCTTTGACAGATATAATTACTCCTCACTGTGTATGTATTAGGTCTGTGCTGCTAGTTCCATTCAATTTTATGTTTACTAACAATCCCAAATTGAAAAACTTTTCTTTGTGCGTGTGAGACAGGAGTGAAAGTCTTACTGCAGAGAGCCGGCTAGTCCATGCAAGTCCAAATTATAGACTGATCAAATCGAGGAGTGAATCTGATTTGTCTCAGCCTGAATCAGATGAAGAGGGTTACGCGCTGGTAGGTATACCTAGATTCAGTAAAGAGGGATTTTTGTTTTCAGCGTATAGATATATAAGAGTTTGGTTACAGTAAGTACTATATGTTTGTTTTAGACATGTAAAAACTTTTTAAAAAGAACTTTTAAGAAAAATGGGATAACTATATTGCATAGATATTTACCACCTATATGTTAATGTGATTCTCAGATTTCTATCTTTATTTTTTTTTAAGTTTTATTTTATTTCTTTATATTTGAGAGAGAGCACACAAATGGGGGTGGGGCGAGGTGGAGAGAGAGAGAGAGGATCTGAAGCAGGCTCAAGGGTCTGAGCTGTCAGTGCAGAGCTTGACATAGGTCTCAAACCTACAAACTGTGAGATTATGACCTGAGCAGAAGTCAGGCACTCAACCAACTGATCCCCCCAGATGCCCCTCAGATTTCTGTCTTCAGCTCTGACTTCTTCCTAAACTTCAAATTCATATATCTGATTCATTGGTGGACAGTCCTCCTGAACAAGTGAGGTTACCCCTATCTTAACCTATCCAAAAATAAATTCATCTTTCTCTCAAACTTTCTTTTCTTACATTCACTATCTTAGTAGGTGGTATTATTAACTACTCAGGATTCATCCTTTTCTTTTCCTTATTTTCTTGTCTTTGCAAACCTCCACACTCCCTACCATCTAGTTAGTCAAGTCTTGCAAATTTTAACCTTGGTATGTTTCTGATATGTCCTTTCCATCCTTTTTGCCACTGTTCTGTTCAAACTTTCCTTCTCTTTTGCTCGGACTAGTCCAGAAGCCTCCAAACTTGTTGACCTACTGCTTGTTTTGTGCCCATCTTCCACATTTCACAAGTCTGTTTATATTTCCTCTACTTAAAATCTGTCAGTAATTCTCAGTTACCTACCAAAAAAGCCTCAGGACCTGGGCTGCAGGCATTTACAGTCAAAATCAAACAGATGAGATGCTGATTTACCTAAGAAGCAGGGAGCAAAGGATGCTGTAGTGTGATAGGTAAATTATGGTGTGCAAATTGTCTAAGAGATTACTACTTTTGAGTAGTTTTGGACTTGGAGTTCATAGCTGGATTTGCATTTTGGCTCTCCCTCTGTCTTGTATGTGAATAATCTATACGTGTTACTTGACTTAACTGGGCCTTAGTGTCCCGCTGTGATAGGAGGACATTAGTGCCTCTTGTGTTTATGACAATGTGTGAGATTTTGGTCATGTCACATGGCAGCCCAAACAGAAACTCTGGTTTTTTGGACTGAGTGAGTGGTTTAGCTCTGAAATTCCTCTATTGTGTAAATTGAGATGATGGATATGAAAATACTTTTGAAAAGTATAAAGTACTACATAAACAGAAAGGTATTGTTTCAGAGAAACTTCTAAGCAAAGAAGATTCCTCCTCTAAGGAAAGTTCAGCAGTGTCCCTAAGCAGATTTTATTGTACCATGGTGTTTTGTTTGTTTTTCCCTTCTTTTAGTCATTACCATTAGTATCTCTGTGCTCCCAGTTCATGTTTCCTCTCTTATAGTCTCTGAGATTCCTTTCAGTCTGATCAGTCTCATTATCTAGTCTCCTAACCCTGTGATAGTTTTTATTACATAGATCATGTTACTTCTCTACTCAAAACCTCCAGTGACTGCTTTTTAGAAGCATAAGTCCTTACAGGGGCCTACAAGACCCTACATATGCTGGCTCCACTGTCACTCTGATCTCTTACTGTCCTCCTTAATTGAGGACTCTCCTTCTATCACACTAGCCTCTTGCCTTTTCCATGAACATACCACACAACCTCCTTTTAGGGCTTTTACCTATTTCCCTCCCCTACCCCCACTAGAATACTGTTGTCTGCCTGGCTAATTCCCTCACTTCAGTGTTTCCTTCTGTTTTTACTTTTCAGTGAGGCCTAGTCTGACCCCTCTGTCTAAAATTGTAGTTTGCCCTCCTTTCCACATATTCAGTCCCTGTCTACCTTGCCTTGCTAGGTTCCCCCCCCCCCGCCCCCCATCCCCCAGCACCAAACATAATTTTGTTTATCACTTTCTGTTGGCCTATACTACACTATAAGCTCCTTGAGGACAGGAGTTTTTGCTGTTTCGTTTACTGCTGTATTGCAAGTACCTGCAGTATAGTGCCTGGTAATGTAGTAGGAGGCAATCACTAAGTTTTTTTTTTTTGGAATGGATGAATTATTTTGTTACCTGTTTTGGTAAAATATTTGTGCCCATTCTGTCCTTTCTACTCTTAAAACATTTTTTTTTAATGTTTATTCATATTGGAGAGAGAGAGAGTGCACAAGCAGGTGAGGGGCAGAGAGAGAGATGGAAACAGAATCTGAAGCAAGCTCCAGGCTCAGAGCTGTCAGTACAGAGTCTATGTGGGGCTTGAACTGAACGAGCTGTGAGATCATGACCTGAGCTGAGTCAGACGCTCAACTGACTGAGCCACCCAGGTGCCCTTTTTTTATTTTTTAGTGTTTCTACTCTTTAATTCAGGCCTTTGTTACCTTTGCTTGGACTGGTAGTTTTAAACTGCTCTCCCTACTTTTTTCAGTTCCCCTCCTTAGATCCTGTTCCCAAAGTTAGAGC